TGATAATTTTCATTACAGACTGACATTAGCTGGAGAACTTTTGAAAAACTGGGAACACCGAAAACCTGCTTCCTTTTGGCATAGGACTCAGCAGTGATCTTCACTTTACTACTTCTGTCAATTCGCGATATAGCGCGAACTTCAGTAAGCATCCGCATTACTGCCGACTGGTTGATCGCATATGTCATGGCTTTCTCACCAGGACTTTTTATTCCCAATCCCAATTTAAACAATGTTTTGCGTATCACCATAATCTACATTGAAAAGTTCTTCATTCGAGAAAAGAACACGGCAAATAAGAACAACAAATAGCACAGTATTTTGTACCTAGTAGTAAATTAAAAATTTAGGTATGACTACGCCTCATCATTAATTCTAAAGATCATTAGCAAACATGAAGACGCTTATGACTTACAATTTTACAAGTCAGTTTACTTATTATAGTTCAGTAATTTAAATTACACCTTGATCAGCAGTATATTGGATACACATCAATAGTGACCTAAGGGAACTATGCTACCTATTGGCAGTGAGAAATAGTAAGGTGAAAACTCAACGTTTTCAGTGTCATAAAAAATGCTTCACACTACAACAGGTATAAAGTCGTTATCTATATTTCGTCTAACCTATCTTCTTTGATTGTACAGCAATCACTATCATAATTCATCTTACTCCGACATAACCAGAAACTATTAAATGGTGACCTAGTTTTAATTCATGCTGAAATCCTATCCGAAATAAGAAATGAAAAATAACCAAAGTGCACAGAACTAAAGATAATGGTATATTGAAACATTTATCTGACATACTGAGCTAGATTATCTTGCAAAATACTGAAAGGTTAGTGACATTAGCTTTGGATTGTAAGTTGTTCTAACTTTGTTTTTAGTTTGAAACTAAGTTGTGAAATAGATTAAATCCTGTGAATGTTTCCAAAACATAATAGGTGAGAATCCGAGTCAAAACTTCCACATTCAGACTATTAATGTACCAATCAGTTCACCTGGTATTATTGTTGTTGCTTGTATTCTCCCGTCGTTGATTAAACCGAAAGAATAGGTCTCTATTGGTATACAGCCTCCTGCGTGGATGCCTCGATAATGTCTATGTTTCAGTTATATATTAATGATGAATAGCGGCTAGAAATGCAATCCAGGATGCGCGTTTCGCTCAGTTTGGGAGTCTTCACCTGGATGTACTTTCCTCTCAGTGAGTGATGTTGTTCCAAACGGGACTCGAAATTGCCAATGAACACGGACCAATTCGGTCCAATCAGTGAGGGAGTAATACAAGCAAAAACATCAAATTTATACCTGTTGCATGAGAAGTGGCTAAAGAGGCTCAGTGCCTTTAACATCTGAAGCGTTCGGTCCCAAGTTCGAATAGAAACAAACGGTAACCGTAGTTACCAAATATTAAAACCAATGAAATTCGAAATCAAAAGAAACGAGTTGAACGACAATCTGCATTTTATGTTATTAACTTCAAATTAATTTACTTAACGAGTGAACATACTTTGATTCAGTATAATCTCTTTTACTAAGTGTATACCCTCTAGGGATGAGTTGACACTGAAGAATGAATTCGACAGTTCCCTTCTCAGTTGCTCAGTGTATATTGATGTTAAGTATCAAGTGATTTTCTAGCCAATGTTCTACAAGCAGTGGTGTAAAAGGTTCTAGAAACTTAAAGTTCACAAGCTTCCAGACGTACTTCCACAATCATACTCAACTCCTCTTAATAAGATTAGCATGCAAATTGTTTACATATCTTTCCAAATTCTTCCAAAAGTATAACAATGTTGATAATAATGACAGCTAACTGAGATAGACACAGACACATTATTGTATTATTCAGACAATCATAACCATTTTAACCATTTTAAACTATGAACACTCCCTAGAGTGTAAATGAGTATAGTAACTATTCCAGAAAATCTAAAGTTTAGCTGTCATTTATCCTACTGTTACACTGAATATACTCAGTGGTGGAGCTCAATATCTTTTTAAAATATTTTTGAACAGTCTAGTGAATATTTTTGGGGGAAAAATCCAAATCCGTAAACTTGAATCATCCTAAGGTTATCCACATCGGTAGATCTAGTCTCTCCTCATGTGTTAAAATGTCTTAGGAATCGGTATTTGAGCTGCTTGTTTAATTTTACATACGGAAATACACTCATGCTAGAATGAGTCATCATGACAATAAAGCCACTTGTCAATCATTTTGGGTAACATCAACAACCATCAACTCTCTTACTGTATGCTAAGTTCTAATCCAGTAAAGAATATGCTCTCACTAAAATTGGCGACAATTTGGGTTTAGCACTTATTTTTCACAGATGTTTAGATAAAACAGTGCTGAGCAATGCTTTTGGATACAATTCAGTGAGGAAAAGACAAGTCACTACATGTCTGTAAGATGGTTGACATTCCAATATTTATTAGGATGTCGCCAGTTTTATCCAAAACCGACAGGCATCCTGTATTATTTTGGTCATTTCCGATAGAATATAACTATAGAAGATAACTTACTAATTAGGCGAAATATGTCTTAGATAAAATAACTACACGGTAGTGAATCATAAAAGCCGATGACTAATGGCCCGATCCCTGGAACGAAGATAAGTGCTGTAACCCAGGGTTTATGGGGACCACAGAAGAAATTAACTGAGACTTAATTCTGGATAAAAAATTGATTGCTTTGAACTGAAGCCCTCTTCAGAATTATTTTCCGAGGCTGTAAAAGATGAAATTTCATGTTGATATTTGATCAAAGCTAAGGGAACTGAAAAACTAATCAGTCTGAAACTTTAGGTGACAGTGATCAATATCGGCAAAAGTAGAATGATTGTGTACACTTTGAACCTTCAAAATTTCAAGTGTTTCTCATCAATTTGTCCCCTCGTTACTAATATCTGTTTTCAATTTGAAGGTTTGTTTGGATTTACTTACTAATTTCATTTGGGTTCTCATCATGGACTGACATCAGTCGGAGAAACATCAGTAACGTAAGAGCACTGGACAGCAGTTTCATCCAAGTATGACAATTCTCAAAATTGTCCTCATTGGTGACTTGCTTCGAGGGGTAATTCCCGAAGTTCCAATGAGAAGTCGTGTTCAGTGAGGCTAACCAACTCAAGGATAAAGACAGTTACTCAACGACGGGATTGGATGGAGTTCGCACTATATTGTGGACTATGAGAAGTAGGAAATATGCACTACTGGACTCTGACCCAGAAGCTCAAGGATAATGTGTTGACCGCGGAACCTGAAGGTACTCGTTTCGACTTAGGAAAGGTGAAGTCATGGGTGAACACTTTTGCGAAGTCCCATATTAAGACGAAATGGCTGCCCACTGCTCTCAAGTTTCTAGTGTTTCTCCAACTATTTTCAGTCTGTGATGGATACCAACCTGAAATTATTATCTGTTTTGGTTGATCCTATCACCTTTCCATTCTTGCGATTCTTCGTCTCTATTATGTTGCAAATTGCTGTATTCTGAATATCCGTGTAACTGGATCAACATTTTTGTGTCTCTCTGTCTATGTGACTATAGGAGGCAAGAAATCCTTTTACTATTTGTTAGACTTTCTAACTTTGTTTATATATATACATATATATGTGCACTACTTGACATTTTCACCAGGTACTTTCGTTTTCTGAAAATAGATAGATGACAACTGTATATTCTTTTATCTACTAAGAAGTAACTTCACTCATGTACAATATTACTTAATTTTATCAGTGTAATGAATATGAAAAGGATAGTCGTCTGTTTCCGTGAAACAACCATAATGAGTATTCGACAATCTGATGTATCAAGTCAACCAGCTAGAAATTCGTTTTCATTCCATTTTGAAACTAAGAAGAACGGCTGCATAATTTCACTCAACCTTCACGTTACGACAATAGGAACTACGGCATTTTATTTCTTAGATAACTTGCTGTTAACCGAGTGTTGAATTATGAGTTCAAAGTAAAGATTTCGATATTATACAACGTTCTAATTACAGGATAGCTATATGGCAAACTAAACCAAAATGAGGTGAATCGTCACTGGATGGTGACCAGTTTCAGTTTTTGTAATACTGGTAGAAGTATTTTGATCATTTTTCAGTTTGCGAACCGAGCTGATATTTTCACATTCGTTGCTCGCTTCAGTATTACTGGTAACCATAGTAATAGTAAAAATGACGACAATAATCTTAATAGCATTTTGAGATAAGGATGACCTTTCTGTAAGAGAAATAATTTCATTTTATATTGACTGTCCATTCTGATTTTATATATACACCTCATCATGTACATTTCCCACCTTAATCTAGGCATAAATAAATTTCTTTCCTGTTCATACTTGAAAATGCCTCAATTAATCATAATAAAATATAAAGACTACAAGAAGCGAGAAGGTTGTTTACTTTCGCCATGAACGAAACCAATCGAATAGATAAACAAGTAAATATCAGATTTTTGACAACAGCTTATCAATACAAGAAATAGGTAAACAGAACTATACAAAACTTTCAAAAAATACACTGATAAAAAAGGCCAAACTTCTCAAAAAGCATCAACAGAAATAAAGATTCCACAGCAAAATGAAGTAATGAAAACGTAGGCAGAAAAGTATGAAGGTGAATTCGAAAGTGAGGTGAATAAAAAGGTGTATATTAACATAATTATGGTCAGTTTCTAACATTCTAACATTTTGAAGACACCAACGAGAAAGATCTCTACTTCATTATGGAGTTCATGATGAAAAATTGAATTGATTTTAAGATATTTTGTAATTTGAATCACTTCAGCAATTGTGAATTACTTAAGTGAACTTTGCAGACCTTCGTAAGCTTATTGGATTAGGATAATATTGCGATCAACTAGATTCAAATTAAGATTGTTAAACATTTTCTAAACGAATTGCTATTGTGATCCATCCCAGTGTACAATTCAGATTAAATAATGAACTTCATTGACAGAAAGATAAAGTAGTAATGAACTCACCATTGGGTCCTCTATCAGATGGTTGTCTATTGGTCACTCGTCCATTGGCTAGCCACTTACATTTATATGGAAGATAAATGGATAACACCATCTTCATGTAGGAGAATAGTTACACTGAAGATATACCACGAATGCCACAACTCAAATTTATTATGGAAGCTGAAAGTGACTAAGAATTTCATTTATTGGACATTGTATTGTGAAGAAGACATACTGGTCCCATAAGGAGATCGATTTACAAATCTGAAATGGACAGCATGCCACTTTTTAAAGTTAAGTTCCAACAGTCAGGAAAAGAAATCTGATTCATTCACCTTTCACAAGAGTTAGAAGAATTTGCATAGATGATGCAGAGAATAGGGAGCTTGAGGTACTTCAAAATATGTTCATTCTAAACAGTTATCGCTCAAGATTCATTGAGAAGAATATAAGCCTTGAGTGTTTCAAAGAAGAAACCCGCACGCTTTCAACAAAGACACTATTTATGAATATTGCACTCAAGTGAGATGAACTGGCAGAGATATCGAAGTCATAGTTTTGTAAAGCATTGAAGAAGACTTTCGTCTCCTCTCAGCTTCCGATTGTCTTTTTTAGTCAACTAATGATTCAACCGCGTGTAAATGATAAACCAGCACTTTGACCCACCTCAATATATGTCTCGTAATTCACCTTCTCTTGTGAGGCTGGTACCATCGGCTGCACAAAGTATGTTCTATCCAATCTCCTTTTCGAACACTGTCGTGTATGGATATTTAAAGGAGAGTGCAAAGCCACTGACAGCTCGATTCTTGAGCATCTACTTAATTCTGGTCACTCTGCTTCACGAAAGCCTTCCTTCAAAGTAATTTGTGAAGTCAAATCAGAAATTTCCAAGGGAACATGCATTCGCCACCTGTTGACAGCAGAAGCTTTGTCAATCCATATGTTCCAGCTTGATCCCTACCTTCAAAAGAGTTACCTTTAATCCCTAATATAACCTGAGAAATTGTATTCATTGAATATTTGTTTATTTGTTGTGATCCAACTTGTTACTTTATTAACCGTTTTTGATGACCTTTTATTGATCTATTACCTACTGATGGACATCCATTTTCTAGTAATGATAATTACAGTCAAAAAGCTTTTGAAAATAATAATAATAATAATAAAGGGAAATTTTCTTCAATGAATTGCTTCTCTTTAGCTTTTCTCTCCCTTTTTAATAAATCTTAACGATGGAATTTGAGTTAAAAGTTTCTTCTCCTAATATTGTCCCCATTTGCACCATCATATATTTCCAGTGTTTACAATATTACACAATGAAGCTTGATTAGAAATCAGTTTCCCAGTTTACTGTTATTCGTAGGCAATAAGGAATTCTGGCTTGTATGTCTGCAATATTAATCCTCAGATGATGGTTATGAAAGTTTTAGGCTTCAATTCAGATATTTCCACAAAGAATCATTATCACAATTTGAGTAATACACAATTATTTAACCAATAATATTTGTAAAACATAGCCTAGATAAATAAAGCGTAACTTCTAAGTAGGAGAAGTAGAGCAGATAATCGATTTCAGAAATTTTAAAACGTAGATGCTTGAGACCCTGATGGGTGGAAACATTCCTAAAGTGGATTGACAAGGAAAACCATTATGAAAAATAAATCATCCTACTGTACCACAAACTGTTAGTTTTAAGTAAATTTATGCCACCTTGTTGCTTCCAATCCTTTCTTCTACTTTAGTTTTTAATTTGTTCTTGAAAGACCAGCCACTTTACACGAATGTGCTGTTATACTTTTACATTCTATGCTGCATATCAACGCAAGTACCTGATAAGTATAAATCTCAGCATTAATGTCTCATTGTGATTCATTGTAGCATACTAGTTCACAATCCACCGTGGAATTAACATTAAATATAATACGAATATGTATGTGTATTTTAAGTAGATTGAAAGTATCTACGGCATAATACTTCCTTTTTATAATTTCTAGTCTCACTAAATATTTTGAGACTTGATTTTGTCTACTATAAACTACTTCGGTTTATCTGTAAAGTCTATTTATCTGTAGGCGATTTTGAAAGGGTAAAATATAGAAACGAGTTAAAATGAAGACAGGGTAGGAGGTGTTAACTTTCTTTACAAGGGCCTGTTGAATAAAGATGAGGAAGAAGAAAAAAGAATAGACCACCTAGTGTGGATTAATGAAGACTTTAAGATGACTATTATTAACTAGCGGTGTTTTAACTAGCCACACATGTGAACGAAGATACATTTTTATGACATAAACACACACACTTTCTTGCTGTTTCTACATCATAAAGAGAGAAACAATTAACTCTCTTTCAAAAATTATCTTTACGAAAATAAATAGCAAGTGAAAATAAAACAAAATAAAAAGAGCCAATGTACATAGGAAACGAAACCAAAGTTTTCAAACAAAAAAATTACTGTTTGACTTTAAGAAGATGGAGATGATATTTTTTTGCAGAATTATATGAATGAAAAACTTTTCTGACAAATGGTGGTTGTAAACAAGTTATCTTTAGAAGAAATAAACTAAAACTGATTTTGTATTTATCAACTCAATTCAAGCGTCAATAACATCTTTTTTATTCTGTCCACGCATGACTTATGTGATAAGTATGAAAATTTTTAGAATAATTATCGATGGTGATGTAAATAGAATTTCTACTGGAGTCATTGATCAGAAATCATTGTAATACACCGAGATTCCGACATGTTGTGACTGATTACACCATAGCAAAAGGCAACAGACAGACAATAATTGATATAAAGCTGCTGATGGTGGTAGTGGTGGTTATCACACATTCGCCGTTTTCTGCACTGACTTTTATTTTATGAAACACGTTCATCTGTGGAAATACTAAAGAAGCATGTGGATAATATACCTTGTGTAGACGTCTCTATACGTTATGAGTGTTTTCTAGAGATGACCCATGTGTCTCGTGCATTGATGTCTCATTGCCTTTTAAACTGAATTGGTTCCCGTATGTTAGGAACATTTAGAAGGGACTGAAATGACAATGTATACTCTATTGATTCGCATCGAGTCATCTGAAGACTATATGAAAATGTATGTGCTGAACAGTTTAGTAGTTGTCTGCAAGTTAAATGCTTCGAGTTCTACTTTCAAGGAAAACAGTACCTTAATACACCTCCAATCCAAGTATGCACGTCTGTTTGAAAGTTCAAAAGATTTCGTAGATCAGAAAAATGTTCACAAGCTTAGATAGTTTTATTCATTACAAAATCTGCATCAGGTCTAAATAGGAATTCTATATGTTTCCTTTCGTAAACCAAGTCGACTTGATTTCACAATTCATACATACTGGCACTCATCAACACGTTATATGTTCACATACAAAAAATGCTACAGTTAAAACAAAATTTGAGCGTTCTATCCGAGTGGAATTCACCTGAATGCTCTGTGCACTTCAAGATGTGAAAAAAGGGGTAATTTGTTAAGTGGTGTATCACTTTAATAGTAACTAAGCTCTCCAAATGATGGAAACAGACGAAACAGTCGCTATTTTCAGGTACCCCACTTGGTTACTAGTGTCTAATTAATCTTCATTTTTTAAATGGTATAGTGCCATACGAATAAACTTTCAAATGAAATTAAATCTCCCTTGAAGAGTTTGCTATAACATTATTCAGAAAACTTCGTTGTTTTTTGAATAAGTGGCTACGAATTTTCAAATCTTTGCTGCAGCTTTGAACTTTGAACCCTCAGTAAAGAGAATCATACCACCTGTGTGTCTTTTAGAAAGTTTTCTTAGCAGTTAGACAATGTCTTCATGTTGTGGAAATTAGTTGTACCTGAGAATGTCTACTTTCGTATGTTTTTTTATAACTTCTCTCTCTCCTCACCATTTGATACATCTTCGTTCAACTACAATTATATTTTTTACCGCTTACGATAACTTGATGTGTGCGACTGATTTCATCTGTCTCCCAACATATTACGGGAGAAAAGACTTTTTCTAAACAACGAAACCTTTACATTTAAAGAAACAGTTGCATTATTCATTCATAAAACTATATGAGAAATAAAATTTTATTCACTAAAGGAATATTTTTTTGACCAACAACTCAAAAACGTAACCTGAATTTTCATGATCAGTTCATTCTCACTTATACAGTTATGTTGACCGATATTCAACCAGATGTTTATCTTACTGCAAGTATATACCAGATGGTTGAAGATTATTTTCAGAAAGCCAACCACCTAAATTTCTCACAGTTTAGCATACATCACGTGAATGTATCTGAAAAGTCGTAAAAAGTTTTGGTATTTATTAAGGCTCTAGTTTGAGTCATTTTCTATTGCGGTTAAACGTTAACGAACAAGCAATAGAACATTGAACTCAACTTATTTCTATACTGTCAATGAACCTACACAAATCAAGATTTGTCAGCAAGAATTAGTGGATACAGTGACACAGGTCGCTTCAAATATTCATATATGAATGTCCTAACAACTGAAGGGGAAAATTTACATTTATCATTCAAAATATATAAATAACCGAATTGAACATAATTTTTTTGTTATCATTTTGAATAAACCATAGTCAAATCGGTGTTTAAATGAATCTCTTCAGCCTTACATTAAAACATGCGGTAGATCAAAAATTAGAAGATAACAATAGGTGAAACATACAAAATAAAAGAATTGCAATGAAAAAGCAAATGCACATCCATATATGTATGTATATACAGATGTATAGATGAAGATGTAAAAAAAAGTATTCTCTGAATCACTCTCATGTTTAACTCACTATCTTAAATAAACACATTGTTTCCGAATATTCAATATTCAATATTGGTTTATTTATTCATCTAAAATTTAAAGAAATCCTTATATATGTTCATTATTCAGTCGGTTAAATCGACTTCCTTTTCTTCGTCCTGTTTTCCTTTACATATTAATTTTTCATATTTTCTCTTTGTGTATATCATATACTTGGGTGGTCATACAAAGAAACTCGATATTAAAATAGGTTAAAAATGTGTAGAGATGATTTTTTGTAAATGAAAGTTTACATCGTCAATGTCTTCATCAATAGACTAGACAATTTATATGTGTGTGTGAGTTGTGTAAAAATAACGCTAGATACGTGCATGTGCTTGCATGCTAATGTGTCCTTTAACTAAGTTCCTTGTGTGTGACTTTTTATAGTGTATGTGTGGTTTGATTATGAGAACTGGTTTC